AGGCCAGGCACTTACCAGCACATGGGGTCGGTTGTGCTGATGCTACACTTCTGTGCTCTTTTGCACAGATCACGGTACCGGAGCAGCTTTTGGACCACAACAGTAGGATATTGATCGAGAGCTGACTTCAGTCCAGGGACTTACGAGGTAGCCTAGCTGGCGTTCGCAGGCCGGAGTCCCTTTCTATGTTTTCAGTTTGTTTTCATTGTACCAAGACAGACATTTATGCATTTTCTATTCAGACTTGTTTGTAGTACTCTTTAGTAGTTCGTGAGATAGAGACACCAGTCTTGGGTAGAGAAATGTTAAACTTCCGCATTTTTGGGTTTTCAGTTATCTGTGTTTTAAAGACTTCCGCTTTAATTTAAGTAACTCGTTATATTTATATTGTTCTTGTTGGGATGTTATCAGAAAATGTTTAAATACTTGGCTTGCCTAGCTCCGATGGCAGGCACCATCACGACCCCCGATGGTGGAAAATTCGGGTCGTGACAATGAATGTGTGAGAAAGAGAAAAAAAATAGTTGGTAAAAGTCAATACCACTAATGATTCTACAAACATAAAGATCTAGAAGTGAAATGTCATATCAATCTTTTACTCTTTAAAAATAAAGTTTATGGTGGATAAGATTATAATTAAAATTAAATATTCAACACAAGATATGAACTAATATTAGGATATAAATCAACATAGAATGAATTATTTTTTATGTTCAAACTACAAAACTGTCTTTTATTTAAATATTTAGCAAAAGAATCCAATTCAATTATTTTTTTAATTCATCATATGAGTAAAATTCTTATTCCAGTTAAGAAAAATCTTAGGGTACATAAATTAGTACCATATGCATGCACGAATATATTGTTATAGCGTTTGAATAATAAAATAAAAGGAATTTAAACAGTATATTGCATAAAAAATATCATAATTAGATCATTTATAAAGTAACTAGTAAAATTTTCCACGCTTCGCGTGGTTGTACTCAAATAATTTTATGAATAATATTTTTTGAATTTAGTTGATATATATATATATATATATATATGAAATTTTAATCAAATTCATGTATGGAAACATTGGAGAAGAGAAGATGAGAAAAAGTATTTAGAGACTTCTAGAGAGAAAGAAAAAAAAATCACGTTAAATCCTCTTGCATTTCATTACGTCTATCTATTATTTATTATAATATAATAATCATAATAATAATAATAATAATAGTTATTAATTTTTTATTTAGACTCTCATGTTTTAATGAGGATAAAACTTTGCATTACTTGTTAGATCTGCAATAAAAATCTCAGCTTCAACAAAAGTTGGGGTTAAATATATTAATATTTTAGATGAATCACAATCAGAAATTACTTTGGGTAATAGACGTATATAGAAAATGAAATGCAGATAATAAAGTTTTTCCCTGAAATAGAATACTCTAAAATTCAAGTGCAAGAAAATATGAAACGACAACAATTTCCCATGATAGCTACATCAAGATGTTCTTCAAGTTGAAAAATATGTTCTCGATCGCGATTCGGTAGACATATCATAAAAAATTATATTATCACTTACAGTGCAATTGCAGAAAAAAGAAAAAAGAAAGAGAAGAAGATTAATTAATTATAGAGAAAATATTTATTCAATGTATAAGCACTACCTTGGCGCAATCTTTACATCTCCAAATCGTCACAACTTATTTCTTCATTGCACAACTGCTCATAATAAAAATTATATATTCAGAACTCAAATATTTAAAGCAAAACCTAAAAGTTTCTTAAAATAGAGCAAAAGACAAAAAGGCATCTCCGATGGCATAAATCACATAATTGTACAACTTTTACTTTATTCGAAAGCACCAAAAATCCATACCATTCCAGAGAACTCATAGAAGTGTTTGATATGCTAATCTCCCTTCCTAAATTTGTTTTCGTTGGTTGGTAATTGGTGCCTTAATATATAAGCCAAATAAGCACAAAACATCAGATGTTAATATATCAATTAATAGGCAATTATAGGGGAAGAAGAGAGGCTTGAAACGGTAGAATAATAAGGCTTAAGAATTTGACTTTTGGAGTTTTTAAACGGAATAGTTTAAAGAGTACAATAAAAGTGGGAAATCAAAGAGACTTAATCCATTATTGAGCTAATTTACTTAAATAAAAATAAGAGAAAAAGGCAGAAAAGGAGAAAAAAGATAAATAGGATCCTTGGCCAAAGAGAGGTGCCAAGTCATCTTGTCTACCCCCCCCCCTCATATATATATANAGGGTCTGGGGAGGATATATAGTGTGTACGCAGACCTTACCCCTACCTTATGAGGATAGAGAAGTTATTTCCAATAGTCCCTCGGCTCAGGAAATTAAACTACATTAATGGTGGAAAATGTCTTTACACTCTTGATAAAAACTTATTTAAATTCAAATAGAATATTAGTGTAACTGTTTTAGAAGTGTTCTGTTTTGTTGGCATTCAACACGTGTCAACTTCCTTCAAGTGTTGCCACTCGAATTTACATACATGACAAAATTGATCATTTGTGTAAATTTTGATGATGTCCTTTTATTTTAAATTCATGTATTATGCTAATGTAATAATATGTTTTGGCATTTGGATAATTTTTGTATTGTTATATATAAAATTTCTCTCATTCATTAAATTTGATTGTTCCTTCATATACATAAATGTTTAAATCATCACGTGCCATTATTAACGTGCATAGTAACTCATAATAAAAGGACATAACCAAAATCCTAGATATTAGCCTTATAATCATATTAGTTTTAGGACATAATACTACAAGTTTAGAATCCTATTAGTATAATAACTTTCAGGCTGTCTAATTCATATAAAATTGAACAAGTAAATATCTTTAGTCATGTAATCCTATTACTTTATACTTCTTAAAAACTCCTATTACTAATTTCATTTGAAAATGTATTGTAATGTCCTATTACTAATTTAATTTGAGAATGTATTATATTGTCCAAATTTATTTAGAAAAAGGAGAGCACATATTATTATAAAAGCATAAATACAATATTAATATACCAAGATAGACCTAAATTATTAAACGGAAGAACTCATAGGAAGAGGACATAACTGCAATAACCTATTTTTTGGACTACAATACCTTCTATGCTAATTTTTAATATTTAAAATTTTAAAATTAATAAAATTTTGTCTATTAAATTCTTATTAAAAATATGTAGGAAGGTTTAATAAAATCAATTTCATAAGAATCCTCCGTATCGACAATATATTACCGCTCCATAATATCTAATACCAAGAAAAAATAAAAGTAATATCTGCATAAAGAGTTGAAATTGAGAAAGAAATACCCCCACGATAATACATTTTTATTTTATATTTGAACTATTTTCCCACTCAAATAATTTTTTTATCATTTTTTCATGTAATATTGAAAATACCCAATTATTAAACTACAACTAAGAAAATATTTAAGAATATGAATGTGTGAGAAAGAGAAAAAAATGGTTGGTAAAAGTCAATACCACTAATGATTCTACAAACATAAAGATAGAAGTGAAATGTCATGTCAATCTTTTACTCTTTGAAAATAAAATTTATGGTGGATAGAATTATAATTATAATTAAAATTAAATATTCAACACAAGATATGAATTAATAATAGGATATAAATCAACATAGAATGAATTATTCTTTATGTTAAAACTAAATAACTAAATCTTTTTAATTAAATATTTAGCAAGAGAATCCAATTCAATTATTTTTTTTAATTCATCATATGAGTAAAATCCTTATTCAAGGTAAAAAAAAATCTTAGGGTACATAAATTAATACCATATGCATGCACGAATATATTGTTATAGAGTTTGAGTAATAGAATAAAAGGAATTTAAACAGTATATTGCATAAAGAATATCATAAGTAGATCATTTATAAAGTAATATATATAAGAAAGAGAAGAAGATTAATTAATTATTGAGAAAGTATTAATTCAATGTATAAGCACTACCTTGACGCAATCTTTACATCCCTAAATCGTCACAACTTATTTCTTCATTGCGCAACTACTCATAATAAAAATTATATATTCAGAACCCAAATATTTAAAGCAAAACCTAAAAGTTTCTTAAAATAGAGCAAAAGACAAAAAGGCGTCTCCGATGGCAAAGCACCAAAAATCCATACCTTTCCAGAGAACTCATAGAAGTGTTTGCCATGCTAACCTCCATTCCTAAATTTGCTTTCGTTTGTTGGTAATGGGTGCCTTAATATATAAGCCAAATAAGCACAAAACATCAGAGGTTAATATATCAATTAATAGGCAATTATAGGGAAGAAAAGAGGCTTGAAACGGTAGAATAATAAGGTTTAAGAATTTGACTTTTGGAATTTTTAAACGGAATAGTTTAAAATAAAAGTGGGAAATCAAAGAGACTTAATCCATTATTGAGCTAATTTACTTAAATAAAAATAAGAGAAAAGGGCAAAAAAGGAAAAAAATGATAAATAGGATCCTTGGCCAAAGAGAGGTGCCAAGTCATTATATATATATATA